TAGGCTTCCAGGAGATGGTGTGGCCTAGATTAAAGGTTTAGCTTCCAGCATCAAGATCATTTTCAAAGGTGTGTGTGTCTCTAGCTTCAAAGGTCAGGACTACAAGCAGATTCACCCCCCCTTAAACCAGGCAAATATATTTTCTTACAGATGTGCCCTCCATTTCTAAATTATAGTTCATTCCAGATGTAGTCAAGTTGACAACCAAGAGTAGCCATCACACCTGGTGATGCCAGAAACTACGTCTCTAAAATCTCACCAAAGCACTCACATAATGTGAGCTAAGCAATGGCAAGTACAATGGACACACCTAAGTGGATGGGGGAAAAGGCCTCAACCCTACCCAGAGAACTACAGGCAACTGGGGAATGCTGGGAGCAGGAGACTTGGTTTCCTCTCAGGAAGAGCACATCAACTGGTTATCCTGTGTCACAGCCTTGGAAAAATACATATACGTAACATGATAGGGACAGAGGTTATACTTAGGAACATGTATTTTTCTTTTCTTTCTTTGCTTTTTTTGTTTATGTTTGCTTTAGAGACAGAGTTTCTCTGTGTTGCCCTTGCTGTCATGGAACTCTGTCTGTAGACCAGGCTTGTCTTGGTCTCAGAGAACTCCCTGCCCTCTTCTCATGTGCTGGGATAAAGGTGTCTTCCACGACAGTCCTAGAAGAGAATACATGTACATGAATATACATGTATGTATGCAAGAAGTTACTGAAATAAGTGGCCATGCATTTAAAAGAGAGCAGGGAAGGGAATAGGGGAGGATTTGGCAGTAGGAAAGGGAAAGGAGACTTGTTGTAATTATATTATAATCTCAAAAGATTTAACGTAAAAAAAAAAAAAAGCAAAACAAAAGTAAAAGGGACAAACAGCCACAAATGCAAAGTAAAACTAAAACAAAGAGAAAAGGTCACACACCTATCAGGAAATGCAGACTAGGGCTCCGTTAAGCTTCCATGCTGCCCTAGCTACAATGGCCGTCATCAGGAATAGAAATAACTGGCTTTGGCATCAGTGTGGGGGAAGGAACCAGAGAACCAACTTTTGAAATCAGTGTGTATGTTCTCAAATAAATGAAAAACTAAAATGAAAGAAAATAAAACAACTCACAATTCCTCTGTGAGCCAATTACAGAACTGATCCATGGCACTATTCCTGTGGAAACAAAGATGAACATCTACTTACGACAGATCAGGAACCTATGACAAATCAACATTAGGAAATCAACAAAGTCTAACTTGATGAACCAGTGAGGATTTTTTTTTTCCAAAGGGGTGTTTTGTCTGCATGTATGAGTGCATGCAAAGTGTGTTCCTTATGTCACATGAGTGCCCTAGAATAAGGTTACATATTGAGTCCCCATGTGAGGGTGCTGGGAATTCAAAGTGAGTCTTCTGAAAGAGCAGACAGTGCTCTGAACCACTGAGTCATCTCTAAAGTCAAGTCGACCAGTGAGTTTTATTCGGGGTAACTTACAAGACTGTGGGTGAGGGGTCATTCATAGAAGCAGAAAGCAGTCAATGATAGCTGCATTACCCTGTGAGGGTGATGATTAATGAAGCTGGAAACCTGGGGATCACTGCACAGCTTGCAGGCACCTCAAGGGAGGTTCAAGCCACTCACTACTTCCCCCAGGCAGCTTGTCTTGTCTGGTCCAGGCAGCTGGACTGTGTCTGCTTCATGGCTGGTCTGAGCATCTTCTGTGCAGCTCAGCTGTCTGACAGTGTCAGTAGTCTTCACCAGTTATATCCGCTTGAGGCAGGAGGGCACTAGTGAATCTTGCCAGTTTCTGTGACTTCCCAAAGCTATTAAGTTTTCTATTCCTGAGCTTTAAGAGATTCTCCGCAGGATTGAATGTATCTCCTCCCCTTTGAGCAGAGTATCTCAACCCTTGTGTTACAATCCATTTGGGATCTCATATCAGGTATCCTGTTTGTGAGATATTTACATTAAAATTCTTAACAGTAGCAAAATTACTGCTATGAAATAATAACAGTTTTATGGATGGGGTCACTACAATATGAAGTACTGTATTAAAGGGTGGCAGCATCTGGAAGCTGGAGAACCACTGCCTTAGAGCATCCCATTACTTTGTCTCTCTTTTCAAACCCTGTGCTTTTTTTTTTTTTTTGGTTTTTCGAGACAGGGTTTCTCTGTGTAGCTTTGCGCCTTTCCTGGAACTCGCTTTGGAGACCAGGCTGGCCTCGAACTCACAGAGATCTGCCTCCCTCTGCCTCCTGAGTGCTGGGATTAAAGGTGTGTGCCACCACCACATGGCTTCAAGCCCTGTGCTTTAAGGAGATTCCTTTAAGATGGAAAGATTTAATCTCAGAGGAAACTGATATACAATAACCATCCCTGGGCATGAACTCCTAAGACTTGCCATTTCACCAATGAGCACTTGCCCATCAAGTTCATTGTATTTTATTCCCTTTATTCACTGTATCGAGGAAATGGAATCAACCTAGATGTCCATAAACTGAAACATGAGTAAATGAAAATGTGATACTTATCTATATAAACCTGCGTAGTATCCAGGTATAAATAAAGATGAAAATGTGAAATCTAGATGGACATGTAAGTAACCTGAAATTATGACAAGGTCAGATACCTAGGCCCCCAAAGTCAAACATCACATGTTCTCTTACATCTGTGTGTCTAAGCTACAAACTTTGCTTTGTATGCTCAAGTAAGACTACACGTAGAAGCCAGGAATCTAGAAATAGATCATTAGTGGGGAGATGGAGGAAGAGAGGATAGATAGAATACAGGTGATATGAAATTAGAGGGTGGGAATCTTGGGGGCAGGATGGTTCAAATATGTAGTGGAGAGGGGCCTGCTGAAAGATCAACTCAAATGAGATGTCCATGAAGAAGTGATCATTTTGCAACCTATCATTTTGGGAACCTATCATTTTGCAACCCAACTGAAAAATACAATAAGAGAGGACAGTAGAACACGTTATAAAAGTTTAACTGGGGATGGGGTAGGGAGAAAGGATGAAGAGTGGGTGGGTCAACCAAAAATAAAGATTTGTGAAGAAGTCTTATGAAATCCCCCTATCTTACAGAATAATAGTAAACATGATTTTAAAATCTTTGAATAGAGGTCTCCCACATGGGAAAATAATGTTTCTCCCAGTCACCAGAACTATTTAACTCTCTGTACCAGATACTGGTTTATCTGCTTAGGACCCCCTGGTCAGGGAGGCCCTATTGTCACCCTAAATACCCTAAACACAACAGATCATTCCCACTGCTCTTGCTTGGGACCATAAGTACACGGTGAAGCTGAAGACACCAAACACTTTGGTTGCAAGATATAGAGAGAGCAATATTGAACTTACCAGGCAACTCTCCCTGCTGGCTAGCTTTTCTAGCACTGTAAAGTTCTGTGCAGGCTGCTGGTAGAGAAATTATGTCAATGGTCCTACTTACCCCTGGGCCATGCATCTTACCAATACTAACCTGCTAGCCTAGATGTGTGTACTGGTGCAAAACTGGCACCAGAGTTTATGGACATAAACAAATGCTCTCGATTGTATTTCAAGCCTGCACTACAGAGGAACTCATGCCATGGTAAAAAACAAACAAAACCAAAAAAACAACATGACTTGGAAACTATAGGTTCTAGGGTAGAACATATTTATGTTTTGATAATGATCATGAGTGTTAATCAGCCTTCTAAATATTCATGTTTAAAATGATCACTTTGTACTACTCTCCATGTTGATAAAAAGTCTCCTCTTAAGAGTAGATAGTTGCTAATGTATAGACTCCTCTTAACAGTAGATAGTTGGTAATGCATAGACTCATAACTGTTCAAACAATTTTAAGAACAAGCTACTCCATAAGATTGGGGCAATTACCATTTCATCGTAACTGAGGGTGTGTACTGAGTCTCCATTCTCAGTGAAGGTATACTAGCAGTTCCTGGGAGCTATATCATTTTATTATAGTTTCAAGTAAATTCTTCCTAATTTTTCTTAAGTACTTCAAAATGAATTTCTGCATACCCTCAGGGCTTTTTATTTTCTTATTGTTTTGGGTTTTCAAGATAAGGTTTCCTGGTGTAGCCATGGCTAACTTGGAATTTGCAATGTAGACAATGCTGGCCGAGAATGCACAGGGGTACACCTTCCTCTACCTCCAGAGAGCTGGGATTTAAAGTGTATGTCACCACATCCTTAGTCTTTGGCAATTTCTACATTGTATGTCAGTATTCCAGTGATGTCACATTCACAGCTTGTCTCTCCACAGTTACTTTCCTGCCGTTTGTGTGGTTTGACTCTAGTATGAAGATGAAGGTGAATAAAATTTATAGTGTTTTCTTTAATGATGAATTTTCTTTTATCTGTGCAGTATCAACACTATGTAAAGGGTTTGTCAAATTCAATGTATTTTGAGATGTGTAATTTCCAATGGACTGAAAAAAAAACATGAGGAGTATACACTCTCTATCTTTATATGGTTTCACAGAAGTATGAATTTTGTAATGTACAGCAGAGGGAAAACTAAAGGTTTTGTCATATATTTTATGTTTATTAGGACTTTTTTTTTTTTTTTTTTGGACAAAGAGTTTATATAGTCCTGGCTGTTCTGTAATTCAGTATGTAGATGATGATGTCCTCTGACTTAAGAGTTCTTTTTGCCTCTACTCCTGGGTGCTGAGAATAAAGGAGTATACCACCACACCTGGCATTTATATGAATTTTTAGAATGTTGAACAAGATAAATGTTTTTATTACATTTTTTTTTTTTTAACCAGAGCTGGAGACATGGCTACGTGGGGAAGAGCACTGGCTACTCTTCCAGAAGACCAGTGTTCAATTCCTAACACAGGCATGGCAGTTCACAATGGACCATAACTCCAGTCTAGGGGATCTGATGACCGCTTTTTGACTCCACTACACCAGGCACACATGTAATGCAGACATATTGGCAGCAAAGCATGTATATGGCTTAAAAGAAATAAAAAGCCTTCCCATTATTACATTTGCAGAATTTTATTTTAATATAAACTCTAGGATATTTAAAAAGATTTAAACCTTCATTAATGATTTTCATAAGTTTCTTATCTTTCTGTTTCTATTTTGTATACTGCTGTGATTTGAAAGCAGAGAATACCAGAAAATGCTATATCACACATTACTTACAATGGTGTTTCTCTCCAGTATGAATTTTCTAATGTCTCATAAGATTCGAAATCTGGATAAAAGATGCGTCAGTTTTTGCATTTGTATGGTTTCTTTCTAGTATGAATTTTCTGATGTGCACTGAGATTAGGAGCACCTTGTAAAAGATTTGTCACATTTCTTTCAATTGTAAGGTCTTTCTCCAGTGTGAACTCTCTGGTGTGTTCTAAGATGTGAGCCCCAGTTAAAGGACTTGTCACATTCCATACTTTGTAAGCTTTCTCCCCAGTGTGATCGCTGTGATGTCTTCTAAGATTTGAGCAATTGGAAAGGGATTTGTCACATTCTTTACAATTGTAATGTCTCTTTCCAGTATTGACCCTCTGATGTCTTATAAGATTCAAATAGCAGATATAGGATATGTCACAGTCTTCACATATGTCAAGTTTCTCTCCAGTATGAAAATTTTGATGTTTCTTTAAACCACAGATTGGGCAAAAGATTTGTCACATTCCTGACAACTATACGGTTTTTCTCAAGTATGAACTCTCATATGTTTTCTAAGATCTGATTTGAAGGCAAAGGACATGTCACATTCCATACATTTGTAAGGTTTCTCGCCAGTGTGAATTCTCTGATGTCTTTTAAGATTGTTACGATTGGTAAAGGATTTGTCACATTCCTTACAATTGTAAGGTCTCTCTCCAGTGTGAACTCGCTGATGTGTTTTAAGACTTGCAATATGGACAAAGGACATGCCACAGACTTTGCATTTCGGAAGTTTCTCTCCAGTATGAATTTTCTGATGTGCTCTAAGATATGTGCAACTAGCGTAAGACTTGTCACATTCCTTACATCTGTAAAGTTTTTCTCCAGTGTGAACAATCTGATGTCTTTTAAGATATGACTGTTCGCTAAAGGATTTGTCACATTCCTTACATTTGTAAGGTTTCTCCCCAGTATGAATTTTCTGATGTCTTCTAAGGGTTGACTCCCAAGTAAAATTTTTGTCACATACCTCACACTTGTAAGGCTTTTCACCAGTATGGATTCTGTAATGCCTGTTAAGGTGTGATAATTTAAGGAAGGATTTATCACAGTCTTTGCATTTGTGAGACTTCTCTAGAGAATGAGTTTTCTGATGGCTACTCAATAATGAATAGTGGGTAAAGGATCTGTCACACTCAATGCATTTGTAAGGCTTCTCTCCAGTATGGAGTCTGTAATGGCTTTGAAAGCGTGAAAGCTGATGAAAGACCTTGCCACATTCTTCACAACTATAATATCTACCAGCAGTATGCATTTTCTGGTGTTTCTTGAAAGTGGAAGAGTGGGCAAAGGATTTGTCACAGTCCTTACATTTGTAAGGTTTCTCTCCTGTATGCCTTTTCTGATGGCTATGAAATCCTGACAACTGACGAAATGACTTTCCACATTCTTTGCATTTGTAAGGTTTCTCCCCAGTATGAAGTCTTAGATGTATTTTAAGACTTGAACGCTGGGAAAAGGATTTTTCACAAACTTTGCACTTGTAGGGTTTCATTCCAGTATGAATTCTCTTATGTTCAGTGAGGTATGAGGAAACCCTGAAGCATTTCCCACATTTCCCACATTGGTATGGTTTCTCTCCAGAGTAGACTGATTGTTTCAGAAGGCTGTGTGCAGAGCTGAAATCATCATCATCTTCTCCCTGCCTGGGTTCTTTCTTTGAAGTATACAGCCTCTGATCTTGAGTAATGTTGGAACTCAAATTTAAAGATTTCTCACAGTCTTTAGATTTGCAAGGTTCTTCTCCAGTGTGCGTGCTTTCATGTCTATCTGGATTTGATGAGTCAATAGGGGCATCCCTGTGATTGTTGTTGCATCTTGAGTTATTAGAGTTTTCTGTAGTTTTACTTGTTCTATAAAGTGCACATGTGGAGGGGTCATGAAGCACTTTGCCAAACTCAGTACACTGACAAGACTCCTTTTCAGTCTTCACATGTTGATGGACAGGATTACATTTGCAGTAGTTCTCTGAAAATGAGTACAGTTCAGATTAATAGGGTTTGTTCCAATAATAAACGTGATAAATGACTGCCTTCCTAAGTTCTGTTTTAACATAAGTGAACCTGGAAGTACTTAGAGTTCCCAGTAATGCACATTTTTCATTCACTGAAATGTATGGATTCTCACAAAAAACAGCATGACAGCCTTCAAGGGTCAATGATTTATAACAGATAGCTCATCTTTATCAAAAATCTCTAACTGGGGAAAAAGTAATTTACAGCCTTGAGTTAGCTTTGGGATAGAGCTCACAGAGATTATATTTAGAATACATGTCTCTGTCTTTAAAAATTTCATCAGAAATTGATGAAAAGGAGTTTATCCAACCCCAGGTTCACAGTATTTACACTTACTACGTAATAGGAAAGTAGGAGTATTGTTCAGAAGATCCAATTCGTTTAAAGATTTAAGTCTTAAAAGCATCAAAGGGTTTATTTTTGTCTATAGAAAAACAAATTAGATTAATCAATAGTAATGGATGCAAAGACAGAATTCTGGCAGACATCAGAGACTCTAGATCGTTTGAGGCAGGGCTGTCATGGGCAGCTATTGCTTATTTCTATCCTCCAGTGTCTCCACACACTGCTGTGTTTCTTAGCTTTCCTCATAGGGGTATTCTCGAGTCCACTCTTTATACTGACTCATGAGATTATTTCCCATGAGGGTGTCTGTGTATTCTCCACTGGCAAGAAAACGAGGAATGTAACATGAAGATATGCATACAAGGAATACAATTACAGAATAATCCTACTTCATGGACTCAGGTTAGACTTAAAATTTTGTAAAATTATTCTGTTTTCAGCAGAATCAAATATAATTGCATGTTGTACTAGTATTAAGTCACTATATATCTGGTGTAAGAGACACGCCTTCTAACAGTTATAACACACAGGACACATCCTGGGCCAGGACACTACACTAAGTTAAATGATCGGGAATCCTTTCAAGTGGAATTGAATATGGCAAAACCATTCTCAGCTCTTGCTTTCTCTTTCACTTGAAGCCTTCACTGTTTTCCTGCTCATTCATGAGCCCAACCTGGTTGTGGCTACTCTCTCCTCTCCACATTCCAGGGCAATCTCATTCTTTCCAGACAGGCGATAAGGCCTACTTTGCATACAATAATCCACATGTTCTTTGAGGCAGCCCATGACCCATTTTAGAACTTGCAGGAAGAATACAGAAGTCTAAGACAATACTGCACTCAGCACATGAAAACACAAAACAGAGGTATTTAGGCAAGATTTCTTGATTGATTTTTCTTCTCAAATTCTTTAGTATATTTAGTATTTTCACTATCTTGAACTTTTCTCAAAATTAAAACTATGTCAATAGTGATAATGGATACGCAGCTCTAGAATATGAGTGGAAATATTATATGCTACTAAGTTTATAATGAATCTTGAAACCAAAATGAAGGATGGATGATACTTCTGAAATGGAAAATGGAAAGAGAAAACTAAATAGCATGAAAAAGTTCCTTCCTACTACTAAACTTTGCCTTGTCTCCTGTTGGTTTTTTTTTTTAGGACAGCTTAATAGATTTTACATCCTGTGAAGACACAACAAACAAAAGATGGGTTAGGAATTCTAGAAGCAAAATGTTCTCACCCACAAAGATCAGGTTGTTGTAATTCTCCAACATCACATCAATGTACAAAGATCTCTGAGCAGAGTCCAGGCAATCCCACTCCTCTTTCAAAAAGTTGACAGTCACATCCCTGAATGTCAACACCCCCTAAAACAAAAAAATATGGTTTGACTACATGCTACCTGGAAGTGTTTTCCTAGATATAAGGAGAAAGAATGTAGATAATTGAAAATAATTACTCAAAAAGATGATTTCCAATACAGTGACATTCTCTCATGAATGTTCAAACTCTGTGGAAACAGGATGAAACAAGTGTCTTACAAGCAGTATACATGAAACAAGAAATACATTCAAGGTCTGGACATGGTTATCTATCTGTTATGGATTCTGTGTTTATGTTACACAGGATCACAGGAGACATGTCTCAGAAGGAAAATTCATGATGAGGAAATGTGCTTTAACTGCTGTTACTGTAGATCATGCTAAAAGACTGACACAAATCAATCCTGTGTGTACCTGGGCCTTACATGACTCTACTCTAACAGGCTCAGTTGGGATGTTTAAACTCTAGGTCCAATGCCACATCATCAAATAGCAAAAGGGTAGGTATGGAAGACAGAATATATGACTGATTTTATAGACAAAGAGTTTTTTTTTCCCCACAGTAGCAAGGATTGTAACAGCAGTACATACGTCATTTTTAACATTAACATGTAAGATAAGTAGTCTATGGAATTAAATTTTTGAGACTATTTGGGTTACTATAAACAGACAGAAAAATCTGCATGAGCCTTATATAGTACAAATTTTTCCTAAGAATATGCATAAGCCAACAGACACAAATAATAATCTCAGAAGTTTTGAAGAATATTTTACTATACTCCCAAAGAGTAATAAAAATTGAGGGAAGTACAAAAAAAAAAACCTCATAAAAGGTTTCAGGTATAGCTAAGAGAATCTGTACCAGTGACACTTTGGATAAGTTTTATAGCAACAATTTACCAAAAATTAAATTAATAAAATACTGACGAAATAAAACTGCAAATCAACAAATGGGCAAATGAAGTAAATAGACACTTTTCAAAGACAGAACTTCAAATGGCCAATAAACATTGCAAAACAATTCAGCATCCCTAAAAGGCCACTGTGGAAATTTAAATTCAAACCAATTTGAAATACTGCCTCACCGCAGGCAGAATGGCTGTCACCAACTAACTTGACACCAAATGTTCAAGGGGATATGGAGAGAAAGACAGGCTTATTCACCGTTGAATGGCTGTAAATTAATACAGCCATTGTAGAAATCAGTTTGGAGATTATTGAAAAAATTGAAGAGAGAACTAACATATGACCCAATTCTTTTACTCCTGGCCATTTATCTGGAGAAAAAACACACTCCAATACAGAGATATTTATAGCCCATGTTTACTACTGTTTTAATCACCAAAGGAAAAGTACTGGAATCAGAATAATTATCTATCAATAAATGAATGAATAATGAAAACTGAATAAAATGGAGGACAATTCAGCTAAACAAAAAAATAAAATAAAAATTTGTAGGAAAATGGATGGACCCAAAATGTGGAATATTAAGTGTGGTCATATACTTTTAGAAAGAAGTCACCACGCTTTTGCTCATATGCAGAATCTACCCAATAATATATGTATATAGAAACAATTTATATGTGGACACATTATAACATGGAGAAAAAAAGAACAGGAAAGGTTAAATTATCAAGGACTGAATGCAGGTAATGAATGTCAGTTATGAAAAATAACATAAAGATAAGTGTTTTTCAAGTTCTAATTCTATCTAAGGCTTTTGGGGTTTTGGTGGTGGAAAGTAAATCAAAATATATTCAATTGTGAAAATATAAAATCCCATGTGAAGCTCCAGAACTTCTGTTCCCTATGACAACTCTAATTGTATAAAAGTACAATGAGTTGTATAGCTTTTGAGTGTGCTTAATTTCAGTGGGTGATGTTAGTTTGTTTACAGAGTTGTTCATAATAAAATTTTCAAAATTATCAGAAGCAGAAAATTAAAGGCTTTCAATACATGAAAGCATAACATATTTAGATAAAGAGTGGAAAGGACCACTGACCTGCGACATGTTTACTGAAGAATCAGCCATTTCTTACTGTTTCTCTTCTTTGAGTTTCTCTTTCAGGAACAATCAATAGATGGACACTTCCCTTTCAAATCAAGGGGTCAAAATGGAAGAGTTAAAATTAATACTAAAAGCTGTTAGAGAACAATGTCAAACCATATGAAATTACCCAAGCAATAGAATTCTACCAGGTGTCCAGTCAATGATCCCAAAACCAGGAAGGAGAGCATGGAAAGACATTTGAAGCTTGAAGAGAAAATCACCATCAAGTATCCGATAGCACAAAGTAAACGACTCTCTTAAAATTGATGGAGACATAAGTGCATTTCAAGATAGTCACCAATTAACACAACTGATTTCACTAAAGCAGCACTCGGGTAATAAATTAGAGGCAAAACATACACAGGAGTGACAGAGAATCATCCATGAGAACATGGGAAATAATAAATTTCATGCAAAGAATAGAGAAATACAGGAGAACTGGAGAGTAATCATCCATGAGCAAGACAGCAAATCACTAGTTCTAAAAAGGAAGAAGAATACTACCTGTCGGGGGGGCTACCCACCACCCCCACATTTCCCGAGTGCTCTTGAGTGGGAGCAGCAGAAAATATTAGATAGAGGATTTAGAGTGTAGCGATAAACACAAAATATAGGATAGCCTCGAGAGGGCCTGGAACCTATTCCAACGGGCCTAGATTGTCTCTGCCCTAGGGTATTTATAGAAATGCCAAGGGGTGGAGCAAAAGATCTCGCCCCAGCACAGCCAAGTGCAGACCATCTCAGACACCTGTACTCAGGCCTGTGGTCCAATCATCCTCTCTATGCAGACCTTCTGGGTAAAGCCATGAGGAACCTGAAAATGAGCTCCTACAACTACCAAAGATCCAACCAGCCACAACACAAAACCACTGGAAACAAAAACACCATGAAAAAACGAGCCACACTGAAAATAAAAATAGAGAATCCTCAATTAAATAAACAAACCTTCAAGTTAAAAAAAATTCAGCACATGGCCCAGCTGTTCCATTCTTTGACATACACCCAAAGGACTCTATATCCTACTTCACAGATAATTGCTAAGCTTTGTTCATCACTGCTCTACTCATAATAGCTATAAAATGGAAACAACCTAAATGTCCTTCAACTGACAAATGGATAGAGAAAGTGTGGAACATATATACTATGGAATACTATTCAGTTATAAAAAAAATCAAAATCATGAGCTTAGCAGTGAAATAGATTGAGTTAGAAAAGAACATATCAAGTGAGGTAACCCGGACCTAATAAGAAACAATGCATGATCTCTATCAGAGTAAGTTCTTAGCTCCAAATCTTCAGATGTGAGTACACAACCTGGAGTGACTGCAGTAACCAGAAAAGTAAAAAGAGACCACTGTGAGGTGTGAGGGAGTAATAGAGATGGAGTAACAGGGAACAAGTGATCTGAAGGGGGAAATGGAAAAAAAAAGGGGGAGAGGGTGAGGATTTAACTATGGGGAAAGGACAGATATAAACACAGAAGGAGGGTAAAATATCAGTCTGGAAAACTAATGAGGAATTCATCTATTCCTTGACTATTATTCACCTAACAAAAAAATACCTATAATATGTAAAAGTCTCTGTAAGCATACACACGTAGAGTATAAATGAAAATTTCTGAACTGCACTGATGATTCTCCTCAGAAGAGCCAAAGATTTTCTAACAAAACAACCAAGACCAGGTATAAGAAGCCTGCTTTGAAGTTGTTGGTCACAGTTGTCCAAGAGACTTTCAAACATTGCAGGGTACTGCTATTGTCTATGGTTGCCTCCCAGAGGCAGAAGTTGAGTCCTTAATGTTGAAGTAGCCACACACTTGCAGATATCCTAGAGGACTCCAGATGTAACTGACCATAAAGCTTCCTGTCTGGGAACTAGCTTTCATGATACCAGAAGGTAACATGCAACCTTCCAAAGGAGGAAGCCAGCCAAGAGTCCCACCCAGCTATGATACCTATGAACCACAATGATCTGCATGGCATGATAGCCCTAAGGGTACAAGAGTGGCACACATAATTAGGTGGTGACCAGGAGCTAATTATATTAGGACCCTTTCAACAAGAGGAAAAACTTGCCTTGTATTGGAAACCTATCCTGTTTCCCCAGGGCTAGTAAAGGCATGGATCTTGGAAGAAAACCTACAACCAGTACTTTAAGAAATCAGTAAGTCCTTACTGAATTCTAAATATTTATCCTAATTTCCAACAGACAATAGGAGACAGTATAGATAGAATGTAGCAGGCTGTAAATATACTTGCTGAGTCTTATCTAAACTCTGTTGGCATTATTTTCAGGAACAGAGACAAAAAACACTAAAAGATAGAGAATGTGCTAGAATACCAAAGCTCCAAAATTCTGAAAACAATAAAACAAGAGGTATTAATTGTCATCATTTTTATAATAAACAAAAATGACTCAATAATGGTATGAAAACATTATCCATGATGTGAATGAACAAGGACAGCATCACTCACATGCATAGTCAAATAAAATTTTATTTGACTCCATTATCAATTCTTCTGAAAAAAGCTTTCTCACACCTACATTAGGATAATCCTGGGGAGATTCTCTTCAGTGGAAGTCTCCAGAATTATTTCTAGTGAAACAGAATGTGGCAACACTGATTTCATGTCCCACTTCCACATTCACTTGATCCCCTTTCCACTCCACATTCACCATCGTCTCCACCATACCTGGATCCTTAGCTCCTGTCTCCTCTCTCCTTCCAGGCCACTTTGTTCTGCTGCACAGGTGAGCAGATCTGGGTGATCAGTTAGCTCTGCACATGGGAAAGAGATTGTTCAGGAAGCACCTGGATTTCTACCACAGGACTGTGGTCAGGAGATGAAGAAAAAACTAAATACAGGATTATAGAAATGATTCCCCAACTGTCCTGCAGGGTCAGAATACAGAAAATAATTAGAAAGAATTTTTAGTTATAGTAACTTGATTCCCACTTCCAGTCACAGCTCAGTCAAAACTCAGGGGCAGAAATGGAACTGAATGATTGGGAAGAGAATTTTATACATTAGTGAAGTTTGAATTGATCATGGACCAATAATGATGAAGCCTTACACCTCCCAAAGGGACACATACGCAGAAGAGAAGATTTCATCAAATTTTTCTTTTTTCCTCAGAGGATTTCACTTTTTCTGTGGGATGTGAGACTCATCCACACAAAGCTCACAGACTCGCAGATTAGTTTGTGAAGAAATACTGAGGAGGAGCAAGGGAGACTGCAAGCAAACAATTCTCAGCCACAGAACATCCAGTGTCAGCAAGTACAAAGCCCTCAGGGCAGGGTCCAGGCATGGCCACACCTCCCGGGAGAAGTCCCCAGTCTCACCACTGCCTGTCAACAGATCACAAAATAAAAACAACAGTTCCAATTGTCCTGTTGGTGCACAACCTTAATCCTAGCACTTGAGAGAAACAGGTGGGTGGAACTCTGTGTTCTCCAGTCCAAACTGATCTACATGGTGAGTTCAGGCCAGACAGAGCAACGCTGTGAGTTCAAACACCAGAACTAAAAAAAATCTAAGTTTGGTCATGTGTCCATGGACAGAGTGCTTTTCTTGGACCAAGGAGACAAAAAAACTATTGTAGACATTTTTCTGATTTAAGTGAGTTATCGTAATTATTCAAAAGATGCTTTCTAATATCATTCTGTACTATAATGCCTTTAATTTTTTGTTTTGTTTTGTTTTCTATCTTTCCCTGAAACAGTGTTTTTCTGTGTAGTGCTAGCTGTCCTTGAACTCACTATGTACACCTTGCCAGCCTCCAACAGACTGTGATCCACCCGCCTCTGCCTTCTGAGGGATTGAAGGCCGGTGCCACCAGGCCTGGCAGAGACACTTTTCAGAATGTTGTATTTACAACCCAGTGTGCATACGTCTCAGATGGAAAATTAATGGTGGATAAAAGTTTACTTTTAAGTGTTAATGTTTACAAGTATATTGTGGAACTCGCAAAATACACACACACAGAGATACATATACTTTAATATTCAATGATTTTTTTGTTTTGTTTTGTTTTTCGAGACAGGGTTTCTCTGTGTAGTTTTGCGCCTTTCCTGGAACTCGCTTTGTAGACCAGGCTAGCCTCGACTCACAGAGATCTGCCTGGCTCTGCCTCATGAGTGCTGGGATTAAGGGCGTGGGCAGGCGTTCCTTTCATGACTATTACCTAAAAGCTCACGGCGGATCCAAACCTCCAGGTAAATACGCCACTCTCTTAAATAGGGAAGCGATACAACACGGAAGTTAGTATGGATGACTGAAATTTTCAAGAGCTTTGTCGTTTCCACCACAGCAAAGAGAATCGTGTTTGCAAATCTCAACAGATATATTCAAACATTTGATTAGATTATTCTTACAAGAATATTCGGGCAATCAGAAGATCAATTGAAAAAAAACCTCAGGCCGGGGCGTTGGTGGCGCACGCCTTTAATCCCAGCACTCAGGAGGCAGAGGCAGGCGGATCTCTGTGAGTTCGAGGCCATCCTGCGCTACAGAGTGAGTTCCAGAAAAGGCGCAAAGCTACACAGAGAAACCCTGTCTCGAAACCACCCCCCGCACCGCAAAAAAAAAAAAAAGAAAGAAAGAAAGAAAGAAAGAAAGAAAGAAAGAAAGAAAGAAAGAAAGAAAGAAAGAAAGAAAAGAAAGAAAGAAAGAAAGAAAGAAAGAAAGAAAGAAAGAAAGAAAGAAAGAAAGAAAGAAAGAAAGAAAGAAAGAAAGAAAGAAAGAAAGAAAGAAAGAAAGAAAGAAAGAAAGAAAAAAACTCAGGCTTATTCCATACGATCTAAAATACACCAAGGGAAGGACATCTACAGCAGAACTTCAGAGCCGGCTTCCTTATGAACAGCAGAGAAACTGCTCGCACCCCGGGTCCCTTCCCTCCCGTGTCCCAGCCCCGCAGCTCCTCTGACCTGAGAGGTTCCAGGGCCGCCGGGCTGCGGTTCCCGCCACTGCGCTGCTGACTGGTGACTTTCCCAGGCCGCCCGGCGCGGCGACTGCGGCTCCGCGGAGATTTCAGGTCCCCGAATACCCGGCCGGGTCTTCCTCGTGCAGTTATAGACCACAGGCTGTCCGAGTCCAACTGGGAATGGTGGAATTTCCTGTAAAGTCGCCAAATTCCTTGGAGCGACTCCTCCTGGATCCTCCCACTCCAGAACCTCCTTCCGGTCACGTACCTGCTCCTAAACCGCATACCCCGGGGCTCTTTTTGTTGATTAGTTTCCCAACTCCACGCTGCTGGGTTTTTTTTTCTCTAAATTCCTCTGACTCAGCAGGTGTCTCCGCCCCATCGGGGACCCGTCCCTCCCACTCGGTCTCAGGCTGCCTTCCACACAGCTCCAGCTGTCAGGCTGCCCTGGACCCGCTCTGCACAGCCTCCCCACATGCTTGCTGCCAGCCTAGACCAGAACTGGATCTAGGAGGACGCTGCACCCCGGTATCTGACCCCCAGAGTGAGTTCTGAACCCTTCAGATAAAACACAGGCAGCCGAACCTCGACTTGGTTACTTGACTTCTGGGCTACATACTTACACCAATCGATCACATGCTAAATTCAGATGCCCACGTTCCATCACTAACACAAACATGACAAGCCAAAACCAAACACTGCAACTGTGACTTGGGGAGAGACCTTTCAGGAACTTGAATTTTGAGAAGAAATAGGTGTCTCAAGAGGTCAGAGGTCTGCCCATTGCTAACACCCAAAAGCTGAGTTCGTCCTGCGCTGTACTGCTCTCACCACTAGATGGTGGTCTTACAATTTTACTATCAAACAAGTGTTTCTTTTGTGACTCATGCTAAGGATGCTTTTAGATAAAATATAGGGAAAAAAAATTTAATACACTGCTGAATGCAGAGACTTTTGTTCTCCCTGACGTAGGAAATGAGTGAGGAATGTGGTCTCACCTCTGAAAAGGCCAGTTACTCCTTCCCATCCATGGCTCTGAGAACTCTGAGGAAATGGAGGAGGAAAGGAAAAAAGAAGGGAAAGAGAAGAAAGGGCTAAGACATGCCATTCTCTAGACTCCACACAGCTGTGGTAATCAGTAACCAACAGCAGCTGTACTGACCAGCGTGGACCTCACACTAGACCACAATCAGTCTAGGAAAGGGAAAGGCTCGCAGAGCCCACTCTTTAAATCTCAAATGTTGGCAATGGATGCATTGTAGAAAAAAATCATTACCTTTGGTTGTAGTCCTCTGCTGAGCCCACCAGGCTTGTTCACATAGATCCAAGCCCACAGTCGTCTGGCAGATGGCTTTGGTCAATCTCAGTGGGTCCCAAAGCAAAACGAATTAAGATAAACACAATAGACATTTGTTGGAATTGTGGACCAGGGTAGTAAAGAGGTAGGAAATGAGAATGGATAGTATTTGATACAGACACACACACTCATATGCACACACAGAGACTATATATATAGATAGATAGATTTTGTTATATATATACATACACACATATATGTATTTATGGAATTTATATGAATGTCTTACGGCCCGCTGTCCAGCTAATCCAACAATGGCTAGCTGTGAACAGAAAGTCCCAAGAATCTAGTAGTCAGTCCACAAGGCTGGATGAATCAGCTGGTCTTCAGTGTATGCTGGAATCCCAAAGTAGTAGGCTCCAATGCCAGTGAAAGAATGGATGAGCTAAAAAAGTTAGGGCAAGCAGACAAGAAGCAAAAGCTTCATTCTTCCATCCTCTTTATAGGCCTCTAGCAATAGTTATGGCATAGTTTAAAGACGTATTTTCCAGGCTCATGATCCATTTCAAAGGCATGTGTTCTCCCACCTCAAGATATGGATTAAAGGCATTTGTCTTCTTACCTCAAAGGTCTGGATTAGAAGTGAATCCACACACTGCAAACCAAGCAAAAATAATCTTTCACAGGTGTGCCCTCCATTTCTGGATTGTAGTTCATTGCACATGTAGTAAATTAGACAAGCAAGAGTAGCCATCACAAGTCCATTCCTTGTCAACTTGACACACAAGCATATCTGATTAATTTCCAAATGAAAATAATAATCAATAGGTCCAGGGGCACATTCCATGCCCCTCCCTAACCCATCCCACCCCCAGCATCTGGTCAGCAGGCAAGTCTCCTGCTGCCAGGCGGCTCCATCCCCACCCCCAGAGGCAGGAGAGGACCCCCGAAGCACAGATTCTAACTGCATGGATTGGAAGAAGAGCGACCACAGAGAGATAAGCACCACCTGCACCAACTGGAGGAATAATAAACACCTGTACCTATAATTATCCTAAACCGAGATGGGTAGACGGCAGTGTGAAAATACATTCCACAACATAAAGAACAACATGGCACCACCAGAACCTAGTGGTGCTACAACAGCAAGACCTGAACATCCCAAAGCAGATGAAGCAGAAGAGAGAGTCCTTAAAATAACTTTATGAAGATGATAGAGGCCTCTAAAGAGGAAATGAAAAATTCCCTTAACAAAATGGAGGAAAAGACAAGCAAACAGTTGGAAGAAATCAGTGAATCCCTTAAAGAAATCGAAGAAATCCAAGAACAAACAATTAAACAGCTGAAGGAAGCAGTTCCAGACTTGAAAATTGAAATACAGGTAGTAAAACACAAACCAAGGGAAGTCTCAAAATGGAAGGTCTGAGTAAGAGAACAAGAACTGCAGACACAGGCATAACCAACAAAATACAAGAGATGGAGAAGAGAATCTCAGGTGATAGATACAGGATGGAGGAAATAGATTCATCAGTTAATGAAAATGTCAAATCCCACAAATTCTTAACAGAAAACATTCAGGAAATCTGAGGCACCATGAAAAAAACCAAACCTAAGAATAAAAGGTATAGAAGAAGGAGAAGAATTCCAACTCAAAGGCACAGAAAATATATTCAATAAAATCTTAGAGGAAAACTTTCCCAGCCTAAAGAAGAAAATGCCTATGAAGGTACAAGAAGTTTACACAACACCAAATAGACTGGGGAAATAACTGAGGCTCAGACACAGCTCTGGCAGGCAATACCTGGACCTAGGAAAAGTCATAAGCTGACCTCACCCAGTGGGGCCTGCATCTAAGAGAAAATACCTGACATTCAAACATTGCATATTCCCCTAGACAAATGTCAGCCGCTCAGGGTCCTGAACCCTGGCAGTTCCCTCATTCCAACCTTGGCTATGATAAAAACCCCATCCCGCCTGAGCTTGGGGCTCTCTGCTCTTACCGCTGCATCTGACAGCGAGACCAAGCTCAAGCTTGAAATGAAAGGCTCTTCGCTTTTACATATAGGATTCGGTCTCTGTGGTGGTCTTTTGGGGGTCCCCGAGATCTGGGCATAACAGTATGATGAACATATTTTAATTTTCCAAAATCTACTAAGTGAAATACATCCACTTGCCAAATTTTCATTCCTTTGTGTACCTTTAGGATTAGTTCCTGTAGGTAAAGGAACTTGATTATAAAAAGAACAAGTAGGATGTTTTTTTTATGATTTCCTTAGCCTGTCACTTTCCTTTTTAGTTCTTTCCAATACCTTTCCCAGGAACATACCCTATTTTTAATGTCATTTTACAAGCTGTTTCTGAGGTTGTAGGAGTATTAATTTGAGCTCCCCGTTGTTGTAACAAGTCTCTCCCCCATAAATTCACGGCTGTATCAGGCTTTATTTACTATCCCTTCCTGTTCTTCTCTCCCTATACATTTAATCCACTCTACACTCAAGTTTTACTTGAGATAAAGTTCAGTGTCCACAAACTGAGTGGAGGCTTCTTGTAAAGGCCAGATGGGACCCCAGGATTCATGTGAAATGATAGTTATATCAGTATCAGAATCCAATAATCCTTCTATCTTAATCCCATTTAATTTTACTTTTAATTTAGGCCATTCATCATTGATAACTGTTTGCCAAAACACCTTTTTCCCTGTACTTTCAAAGCCTCCTGTCATACTCACTAGAGCTGTTCTGCCTTCAAGATATGGAAGCAATAATAATTGAGCAATTTTATCACCAGCTTCTATTTCCATGGTCCTTTTTACATATGCCATCTATAAAAGCACTAAAGACAATCTCTATAGAATTTTAAGAGGTATCTTTAGGTAATACACTGGAGCATTTTTTATAAAATCTTAAAAAGAGGATCTTTTTTTATAGATCCCAAATAACATGTTAATGCAACTTGCCAATTATTAACAGTGTGGATCAAACATCTTATCTGTATTTTATTTAGTGGAAAAATAGTTTTGTTAGCTCTTTATCATTAAGATTATTTTCTATGAGTTTTTATCCTAGCAACCACATTATTTAATAAGCTAACAACTCAATCTGTTTCAGGTGTTACATTTTTAAGAATTTAACCAAGAATTTCTAGAAAGCAACTTAAAGAGAAGAGCCAAATTCTCAGTAATGATAAACTGATAAGAGCATACCCAATATATAGTTTAAAATTATAAATCCTGTTCATTTAGTTTATCTACCATGAGAATCAAACATTTATTAGACAATCAAAAGAAGAGAACATCCTCTATATAAGGAATGATTAATATCTCTGGGAATTCAAGCAGCATCAACTTAGCATTCTGTGTCCTGACTGCAACCATTCTTCACTAGAACTGGGGCCCCTTTAAACTTCCTTTCTCCCAAGAAGGGACTACTGATAATGAGTCATTCCCACCATTAGGGAAAAACAGAAAACATTTCCCACGAAGGGATCTTTAATACTGAGTTATTCCCACTCTGAGGGAAAAATAAAAAACTTTAAACCAAAGTTAAGCAAACAGACAACAAAATTCTAAGCTCTGGGCTTGTTCAGCCAGCAGCAGTGAGGCCCGCCCACTGATTCTTTGTAATTCAGATGCTGCTGCTCTGTGCTGGCAGGCAGAAAGAGCTCAGAGTTTTAGCTATCCTCAGTTTTGTTTTGCTTTTTATTCAAAAGAGATTTTTTTCTTTCTCTATTTTTACTGTGAAGAGGCTTTTTCCCCCTTTGTTTTTCCTTTATAGGGCCTTTTAATCTTTAGGTGTAGCATGAATCTTAAAAGTTCTTATTAATAAAATCAAACCTGAGGCCAGTTATTGGGGTGAATGCTGGAAGATCAGAGAAGCAGAACAAGTCACAGCTACCTCGCCTTGCCAATTCCTCAGCTGATCCTGTTTCCTCAGACTAGAAGCTTCTGAGTCCTCATCCAGAACGAATCTCAGCTGAACTGCTGCTAAAAGCCTAAAAGCTTGACCAGTCAAAAGCTTCTAGTTCCGGGTTTTCATGCCATATATACCTTTCTGCTTTCTGACATCACTTCCTGGGATTAAAGGCGTGAGTCATCATGCCTGGCTGTTTCCAGTGTGGCTTTAAACTCACAGAGATCCAGATGAATCTGTGCCTCCCAAGTGATAGGATTAAAGGAGTGTGTGCCACCGTTTTCTGGCCTCTATGTCTATCTAGTGGCTGTTCTATCCTCTGACCCCAGTTAAGTTTATTAGGGTGCACAATATTTTGGGGAACACAATACCACCACATTTAGGCCTAGTTTTGATATTTTTCCCCTTTTTACCAGGAAAATCCTTTTTTCTTGATTAAGCATTTATTCCTTTTCCATCGAGAAATTTCCTTTCCTTTCCTTTCCTTCCATCTTTTCTTTTTTTTTTTTTTTTTTTTTTGGTTTTTTGAGACAGGGTTTCTCTGTGTAGCTTTGCGCCTTTCCTGGAACTCACTTGGTAGCCCAGGCCGGCCTCGAACTCACAGAGATCCGCCTGGCTCTGCCTCCCGAGTGCTGGGATTAAAGACGTGCGCCACCACCGCCCGGCTTCCTTCCATCTTTTCTATTGGGAAGATTTCCTTTTTTATTTTCTGTCTTTCCCTTTTCTCTATTTGGAAACGTCTTTTTCCTTGGTTTATTTCCTGTCTCAAGAGCCATTCTATTTCTATCTTTAAAAATTCTGCAGTTACTGCTTTTTCTTTTGACAAGCATTTTAGCAACTGTATATTTTGTTGCTCTGTTGTATCTATTTCGTGAAACCCCCAGAGACCACCAGGGAGTGGGTTTCTATCGCAGGCACATAAGGGTCCTTTTATTCAGGTTCAATCTGGGCCACTGCATGGCAGGTGGAAGGAAATGTGACTGTGGCCATGAGCCCAGGTATAGAGAGTTTTTATAGGGAAAAAACACAAACCAGGAATTGGCAATTTGGGATTGGGTAGAAGGGATATGGGACAAGGTGATTTCTTTGAAACTATTGGTATAGACTTGGGGCATGAAACCACATTTGAAACCATTGGGTTAGACTTTTGGCAGGGAACCAAAACCCACTGAACAGGATTATCTGGACTGCTCAGCAGGATTATCTAGATTTCCATCACTGTTCTCTTGCTTATTCACTAGCCCACCCTAGTTGTGGCTGCTCTTTCCATTCCACTCCAGGGAAATCTCATTCTTTCCAGACAGGTGATCATGCCTACCTTGTATACATAATACATATGTTCTTTGAAGCAGCCCATGATCCATGCTAGAACTTTTAGCAAAAATACAGATGTTTAAGACAGTGCTGCACTCAGTAAATGAAAACACAAAGCAGAAGAATTTAGGCAAGATTTCTCAGTTGATATTTCTTGTCAAATTCTTCAGTGTATTTAGTACTTTCAGTTTATATATCTTGAATTTTTCTCACAATTAAAACCATGTCAATTGCAATAATGGACACAGAGCTTTAATATATGAGTGGAAATATTATATGCTACTGAGTTTATGGATGAATCTTGGAACCAAAATGAAGGTAGGATGACATCCCTGAAATGGAAAATGGAAAGAGAAAACTAAATAGCATGAAAAACTTCTTTCCTACTACTAAACTTTGCCTTGTCTCCTGTTGATTTTTTCAGGACAGCCTAACAGATTTTACATCTCATAAAGTCAGAGAAAACAAAAGATGGGTTAAGAATTTTACAAGCAAAATATTCTCACCCATGAAGACCGGGTTGTTGTAATTCTCCACCATCACATCAATGTACAAAGCCCTCTGAGCACAGTCCAGGCATTCCCACTCCTCCTGGGGGAAGTCCACAGCTACATCCCTGAATGTCAACAGACCCTGAAACAAAAGTATGGTTTGGTCATGTGCTACCTGGATGTGCTTTCCCAGATATAAGGAGATGGAATGTAGATGAGTGAAGATAATTACTCAAAAAGATGATTTCCAATACAGTCACATTCTATCATGAATATTCTCACTCTGTGAAAACAGGATGAAACAATAGTCTTATAAGCAGTATACATGAAACAAGAAATATATTTAATGTCTGGACATGGTTACCCCCTATCTGTTATGGATGCTGTGTTTATATCACACAGGATCACAGCAGACACGTCTCAGAAGGAAAATTCATGATGAGGAAATGTGTTTTAAATGTTGTGCCTGTAGATCATGCTAAAACACTGACAAATCAATCCTCTGTGTACTGGGGTCTTACATGATGCTGTTCTAACAGTCTCAGTTGGGATGTTTAGACTCTAGGTCCAATGCCACCATTAAAGATCAAAGGGGTAGGTATCAGAATATTTGACTGATTTTGTAGACAAAGAGTTTTATTTTTTTCCACAGTAGCAAAGATTATAATACCACTACATACTGCCATTTTAAACATTACTATATAAGATAAAAAAATCTAAGGAATTAATTTTTTATGTGTTTTTGGACTTCCCTCAATTTTTACTACTCTTTTTTTGATTGTTTGTTTGTTTTTTGAGACAGGGTTTCTATGTGTAGTTTTGCACCTCTCCTGGAACTCACTCTGTAGACCAGGCTGGCCTCAAACTCACAGAGATCCACCTGCCTCTGCCTCCTGAGTGCTGGGATTAAACATGTGTGCCACCACCACCTGGCAATTTTTACTACTCTTTGAGAGTAAAATAAAAATATTCTTCAGAACTTCTGAAATTGTTATTTGTCTTTGTTGGCTTGTAAATTCATATTCTTAGGGAAATTTTGAATTCTATCAAAAATGGCTGAGGCAGATTTTTCTGTTTGTAGTGGCCCAAATATTCACATAAATTAATTTTGTAGATTTCTTATCTTATATGTTAGTGTTAAAATTATGGCCTTACTCCAGGCAGAATGGCTGTCATCAACTAACCTGACAACAAATGTTCAAAATGAAGACAAATGGAAGAGAAATGGAGAAATGGAGAGAATGGAAACTTTATTCACTGTTGATGGAGGGAAGGGTGCAAAATGATACAGCCAATGTGGGAATCAGTTTGGGAATTACTGAAAAAATTGAAGAGAAAAATAACACACGACCAATTGTTTCACTCTTGCCCATAAAACAAGAGAACAACACACCCTACTACAGTGATATTTTACTCCATGTCACTGTTGTTTTAATCACAAAAGGAAAAATACTGGAATCAAAATAATTATATATGAACAGATGAATGGATAATTAAAATTGTATAAATTTGCTGGAAAAATGGATGGACTCAAAATGTATAATATGAAGTGTAGTCATACACTTTTAGAAAGAAGACACCATGCTTTTGCTCATATGCAGAATCTACCCAATATTATATGTATATAGAAAAAATATATATGTGGGTACAGTCTAAAATGGAGAAAAGAAAACAGAAAAGGTTAAATTATCAGGGACTTGAATATAGGTAATGAACAATAGTTACAAAAAAGGATATAAAGATAAGTGCTTTTCTAGTTCTAATTCTGTCATAGGTTTTTGGGGTCTGGGTGGTATAAGTAAATCAAAATGTATTCGAATATGAAAATATAAAATCCCATGTGAGGCTCCAGAGCTTCTGTTCCCTATGAGAACTCTAACTGTAAAAGGACATAAGTTGTATAGTCTTTGGGTCTGCTTAATTTCAGTGTGTGATTTTGTTTTTTGGTCTGTTTACAGAATTGTTCATAATAAAATTTTTAAAAATCATCAAAAGCAGAAATTTAAAGGCTCTTAATATATCAAAGCATAACATTTTTAGATAGAGTGGAAAGGACCACTGATCTGCAATATGTTTACTGGAGAATCAGCCATTTCTTACGGTTCCTTCCCCTTGAGTTAATCTTTCAGGAACAATGAGTAGATGGTTGCTTTCCATTCAAATCAAAGGGGAAAAAAAGGAAAAGCAAAAATTAATAATGAAAGCTGTTAAAGAACACTGCCGAGCCACATGGAAAGATGCAAGCAACAATATTCTACCAGGTGTCTAGTCAATGATCCCAAAGATAGGAGAGCAGGTGAAGAAGAGATAAATACAGGAGAACTGGGCAGTAATCATCCATGAGTAAGACAGCAAATCACTATTTCTCTAAAAGAAAGAAAGAAGAATATTAGGAATAATCTAACCAGCAACAACATAAAAACAAAACATAGAAAATAAAAACGCCATGCACAAAAAAACTAGCCACACTGAAAATCAAAATACAGAATACTCAATTAAATAAACAAATCCTCAAGTTAAATAAATTAGACACATGACCCAGCTATTTCATTCCTGGGGGTATGCTCAAAGGATTCAACATCCTAACTTCAAAGGTATTTGCTCACCCATGTTTATTACTGCTCTATTCACAATAGGTATAAAATGGAAACAACCTAAATGTCATTCAACTGACAAATGGATAGTGAAAATGTGGTACATATACACTATGGAATACTATTTAGCTGTAAAGAAAGTTGAAATCATGAGCTATGCAGGTAAACCAATGGACTTAGAAAAGATCATATTGTGTGAGGTAACCCAGACACAGACAGACAATGCATGTTCTCTCTCATAGAAAGTTGCAGCTTCAGAACTTCAGATATGAGTATGCAACGTGGAACAATTTATCACTCAAAGAAAATGTTAAATCCAAGAAATTCTCAACATAAAACATCCAAGAAATCTGGGACACCATGAGATGACAAAACCTAAGAATAATAGGGATAGAAAAAGGTGAAGAATTCCAGGTCAAAGGCACAGAAAATACATTCAACAAAATCATTGAAGAAAACTTTCCCAAACTTAAGAAGGACCTGCCTATGAAGGTACAATAACCTTACAGAACACCAAATAGACTGGACCAAAAAAAAAAAAAGTCCCCTCAACACATAATAATCAAAACACTAAATGTACAGAATAAAGAAAGACTGTTAAGAGCTGCAAAGGAAAAAGGCCAAATAACATATGAAGACAGACCCATTAGAATTACACCTGACTTTTCAATGGAGACTGTGAAAGTCAGAAGGTCCTGGACAGATGTTTTGCAGACACTAAAATGAGATATTTTGCTCATGCTCTAACAAATAAAGCTTGCCTCAGTTCAGAGGGTGGAGCTAGCCACTAATTAACCACAGAGGCCAGGCAGTGGTGGCACATACCTTTGAACCCATCACTTGGGATCTCGTGCCTTTGATTCTAGCACTTGGGATCTAATACCTTTGATCCTATCACTTGAGATCTCATGCCTTTGGTCCCAGTACTTGGGAGGTGGACACAGGAATATAACTGTGTAGAGACAGGATCTTGCCCCTTCGGACTGAGGATTCGATAGGTAAGATATCTCTCTAGTGGCTGGATCCTTTACTTCTCTGATCTTTGAGCACTTACTCCAATATATGACTCCAGGTTTTTATTATTAAGACCAATTAGAATTTGTGCAACATCTGGCATCCAACTTTGGGCCAGGAACTCCCAAATAAACTACTTGGCTCTGGAGTTGCAGACACTGACATACACTGGAGCTCCACGCAGGGGCTCCTGCAGGAGTCACTGCTTTGCTGGTTGGTTCTTCTCTCTTTTTTTTCCCAAAGCCTCTGAGCAAGTTTGGGATTTTTCTGTTAGAGTCTCTCTGCAGCAAACTCCACAGGCATTTGGGCTCCACATGCCACAGGAGTTAGCCTCTTTTGCATGTTACCCCATGAAGATGGTTGTCTCTTTGGCTTCTTCTCTCCTAGTGGGTTGCAGGCTTTCCCTGGACCCCCTTCTCTGGCTGCTACCTAATTATGTAGCTGCCTTGAAACCCTCTCAGGCTTCTACTGTTCTATGCAGAAGAAGTCAGCTTCATATTTCACCTTCATCTGAATCACCCTCATCAGCAGATTTGGTAAGACAATTGAGAATTCTTTAAGAGAGTAATTAGTTAAAAGAGAGAGTTTTCCCCACATTAAAAAAATGAAAAATACTATTACAATGGAGAGAGTTAGGTCTCTGTATGATAATGTGCTGGCCATTTTGAAAGTGGAGCAATTAAATGAGAGGATAAGTAATTTAGATGGAGTTTATGTAATGTCAAATGTAAGCATTATCAATTTTATCACTTTTGTTTTATCACTGAAAATGTTGGTTAATATGAGTGCTAAGATATAATTTTTAGAAAAAAAACTTATTAAAACAGTTCATAGAGATATTCAGACCCAGGCACAGGAATTTAAAGGAGAACCAATATCAGCATTGCATTATAAGGTAAGAGAGGAACAGCCTAAGGTTTTCAAACAGCCACCTGTAATTTACCCAGTAACCTTACAGGAATTGCCAAATGGCAGGTATCCCCAAGGCTCTGTAAGAGTTGAATGGACTGTGGAAATGTTAGATTTAAGTAGATTCAAGGAAGCAATAGTCTCATATGACATGCATTCACCATTTGTGAAGCAGATATTAAACTCATGGTCAACTTGTAATAGCATTATCCCTCAAGACAGAAGAGACTTGGTTGCAACAGTGAGCCTGGTCCTCACTTACAATGGAGGACCTGGTGTACAAATGAGGTTAAGACTATTGAACAATGAAGTAGGGCTGGAGGTGTGGAAATCTCCCAACTTCTTGGAGAGGGAGATTATGCTGATGTATGATGGACAATCTATATATGATGACCACACTGGCTCTATGCCCTGCTGCAGCTTTGAATGCTTGGGTCAGAATTGAAGAAGTAGGAAAGAAAATTGAGCCATTTACTAAAATATACATGGTTCAAAAGAAATCTTCACTGATAACTTGCAAAGATTGACTTCAGCAGTAAATAGAATGATAACAAATTCAGAAATATTAATTGAATCTATGGCTTTTGAAAATGGTAATGCACAATGCAAAAGGGTAATTAGGCCATTAAAGGCAAGATCAGCACCCTTAGAGGAATGGATCTGAGATACAATCAATACTGAATCTCATATTCATGATGTTGCTTAGATAGGAGAGGTGATTTCCAGAGGTTTGAAGAAAAATCAAAATATCAAGTGTTTCAATGCAGTAAACATGGTCACCTAATAAAAGATTGTAAACATGGTGTTCCTAGAAATGGTGTTTTTTCAAACCATAATCCAAACAGAATGCTCCTCCTATCTAAATTATACAGAAGGTATGGCAAGGACAGGCATTGGACCAATGAATGTAGATCAACAAAGGACAGTCGAGGTAAACTTTCAACAATTGGTAAATGCCTCGAGTGGCCTGGGAGAGGCCCCCATTCCAAATTCGGTTCAATCATTTCCTGTCATCATGGAGAAAACTCCTTCCCAGAGCAATTAAAGAACTTAATACATCAATTCTGATGGTATCCACAGCTTTTCTTCTTCTGTGGAAGCAAAAGCTAAACTCCTTCCCCAATGTACCACATATCCTGGTTTCTGTTCTGAGATAATCACATCTTTAAAGTGTACAGGCTGATTTAATTCAGTACTTTTTTCTATTATCCAAGGTCCCTCAGCAGCTGTCCTTCCTTTCTCATTAACATTTAGAAAATTCAAAGTTAATAAAGCATTATGCAATCTGTATCTTGGGGATCTTGATTATTCATTTTTGTTTATTAAGCATATCTTTTAGAGTTTGATTTGATTTTTCCAAATCCAAACATCCAGTTATTACTCTGTCCATAATGCTGGATATTTTAGGTGATCTTCAGTATATAATGGAATTCTAAAGAAGTAGGCTTCATTGCCAGTGAAGGCATAGATGTACTAGCAAGGAAATGAGCCCACAAGCAGGCAAAGATCAAAAGCTTCATTCTTCCCTGTCCTTATATAGGCTTCCAGGAGAAGATGTGTCCTAGATTAAATGTGTGACTTTCAGCCTCAAGATCTTTTTGAAAGTTGTGTGTTTTTCAGCCTTAAAGGTCTAGACTACAGGTAGATTCACCCCCCTTTTAAACCAAGCAAAAGTAATCTCTCACAGACTTGCCCTCCATTTCTGAATTGTAGTTCATTCCAGATATAGTCAATTTGACAAGTAAGAGTAGCTAGCTGTCATTCCTAGTAATGCCAGAAACGACATCTCTAAAATCTTGCCAACATGCCCAGATAATGCGAGCAAAGCAACAACAAGTACAATGGAAATGCCAAAGTGGATGGAAAAACCCACAAGGTCTCAACCCTACACAGAGAAGAACTACAGGCAACTGGAAGATGCTGGGAGCAGGAGACATGGTCTCCCCTCAGGAAGAGCAGGGCAATTGGTTATCCAATATCACATGGTCAACCTTGAAAGCATACATACAAGCAACATGAGAAGGTTATATTTAGGAACATGCATTTTTCTTCCTTCTTTGCTTGTTTTTGTTTTAGAGACCATGTTTCTCTGTGTTGTGCTGTCTGCCATAGAACTAGGTCTGTAGACAAGTCTTGTCATGAACTCAGAGATCTGCCTGCCCTCCTCCCAAGTGCTGGGATAAAGGTATGTGCCGTTACAGCCCAACAGGAATATATATGAATATGGATATACACATATGCATGTAATAACAGTTACTGAAATAAGCAGCCATGAATTTAAAAGAGAGCACAGAAGGGTATTGGGGAGGATTTGGCAGTAGGAAAGGAGATATGTTATATTATAACCTCAAAAAATTTAAAGTAAAAAAAAGCAAAACAAAAAGAAAACAAAGGAAAAAACAACTACAAACCCAAAGTGACACTAAAACAAACAAAAAAGTGAATATACCTAACAGGGAAAATGCAGACTAGGACTCTTTTAGACCTCCATGTTGTTCTAGCTACAGTGGCCATCAACAGGAATAGAAACAACTAATGTTGGCATCAATGTGAGGGAAGGGGGTAAAACACTGCTGTGGGAGTGAGACCTAAAGAATCAACATTTGAAACCAGTGTAAATGTTCTCAGATAAATGAATAATTAAAATGAAAGAAAAAAACAACAACACACAACTCCTGTGTGAGCCAATTGCTGATCCATGGCACTATTCCTGTTGAAACAATGACGAACATCTACTTACCACAGATCAGGAAGATATGACAAATCAACATTAGGAAACCAATGAAGTTGAACTTGAAGTAGTGAGGTTTTTTTTTTTAAAGGGTATTTTGTCTGCATGTATGAC